AATGCTGTTAAAATTGCAATTCAGTTTTACATGCTGAGTCTCTAAGAAACTAGCTTTCAAGCCATGAAGGCCTTTGTTTTAATTTTAAAAGGTATGTTTTGTGCTTTGTTCTCCAAGTTGATTATTTTTCAAGAAGTACTGAAAATGTTAGTACTTCATCTAAAAGTTCTGCCTTTTTTGACCTGAGTTGCAGGTTAAGGGGAAGAGAGAAGATAATGCCGTAAATAAAATGAATTAAATCTCTGTAGTGTATTGTCTTACATGACAATAACACAGCATTAGATTGTTACAAAGTGCTTTGCAGACTTCTGGCTAAAAGGGCAAAGCTTACCTTTCTCAAGTGACAAGAGTATTCAGGGCCAGATGGTGATCGTTCCTCTGTCTGCAAAACGTACTCAATTTTTAATTAAGGTTTTCTCAAGTGATCTTTAAAGTGTGGAGGAAAGATTATGTTCTGATCTTAATGTATTTATCTTAATTTAAAAAGAGCCTTATTTGACTCTTACTAGGTTCTTGAAGTTCACATGTTCGGTAAATTGCAATAACTTCATTTTATCTCTGCTACTCCAATAATTTTTCAGAGCTGTGAAATTTGCCAAGAACAATTTGAACAGTATTGGGATGAGGAAGAGGAAGAGTGGCACCTGAAGAATGCTATCAGAGTAGATGAAAAGGTAATCTGATCTTATTTACATATGATACTAATTTATAGTAAAAAAATCCAAAGAAATACAGGTAAAAAAGAAAGACGGGTCAAGTTCTCTTTTTCTTCTGAAGGATTCCCATCATAGTTTTCCTGGCTTTGAAGTACATAAATATCTCAGCCTTCAGAAGTGCCTGAAGTCCTGGTATGGGCTCACTAGTCCTGGTATTGTTGGTATGGGCTCACTAGCCTTCCTTTATCCTGCAGAGCTAAAGGAAAAATGGATGTCTTTATGTATGGTTATAGGTATTGTTTCAGTTATTTCTGTATGCAGCTGTACACAAATAATTCTCAATACTCACCAGGCTTCTTTAATTCACAGCACTTACCAGGCAGTATGATAACTTTTCCTAAATAAACATCACAAAATCTTTTCCCAGGTATATTTAACATCATACTTGGCCTGCTCAGACCATAGTTTTTTAGATGAATTGTGTATTAATGTGTAATTGACAGTGTTCTATTCATTACCACTGGTACTGCTATAATTTATTTTTATGTATTTAAAGATATAACTTTTTTTTTTTTCAGATTTACCATCCATCTTGTTATGAAGATTATCAAAATGTAAGTGAATCCTTCTTCATACTTTCTGAAGCATTTTGCTTTGAGTTTGTTTGCTTGATCTCTGACTTTGCAGGGAGCACAGGTGTTCAGTGTACTGCCCATTTCTCTTGCCTAAGACTTGGAGGCCTTGGGTGTGGCAAGTTTATAATACAGAATTAGCTAAGATGCATTTTTGCTTGTGAGGTACCATGACAGCTTGTGTGCCACAAAGCAAAGCCATGGTTTGATGGATTTATTGTTGAGTAACATGCATAATCTTAGGAATTTGTAAAAATCAAGTAGCTGGGTGTTGGTGTGTGTGATGTTTTTAATGCTTTGGGAATTACAGTTGCCCTGAGGGCACATAGAAGGGAACAGTTCATGGTAACGTCTTAAGCATTTCATCACTGCGTGGTGGTAACTTTTCAAAGGAATTGGAAAAAAAGCAATGCTATTCAAAATATAAATTTGCTTTTTTAGGAACTCAGTAAGGCAGAAGTTTGGCTTTTGAGTGCCTGTCCATCAACATGTTTGCATTTTGAAAAAGGGCAAAAGGGATGAAAAGCTAAAAATTGTCATTTTAATGTGCTAATGCTACTTTAACTTTGCAGACATCATCATTCGATTGCACACCATCTCCCAGCAAGACTCCTTCAGAAAATCCACTAAATATAATGTTGAACATTGTTAAACAAGAAACAGAAGAGTCCTGTGACTCACCTAAAATCAAAGAAGAACCTGATGACACGCCTCCCGTCTGTGCAGAAGAGAGCACACCCACATCTACAGATATAAAAACAGAACCTGAGGAATCTGTTTAAATAAACTGAGGTATGATTTTTTTTTTTAACAGAAGAGCTGCTGTATTAATTCTGGAAGACAAATACTTTTTATATGAATAAAAATGTCCAACTGAGGCAGGGCCTTAGGTACTGTTTGGTTAATAAATACATTTTTGTATTTGAAATTTCTTACTGCCTGCACAGTTTCAGGTGTCATTGTGTGAAAGTTCTGTAGATGTGTGAAAATTTAATGGTATATGTAAAAATGTAAAATTTTCATTTGTTGAAATGTAAATTATAAATAAAAGATATTTTTGCTATATATGGAGTGTGATGTTTATGCACACCATCAAATAAAGAGTGTGTTTCTGTACTTTTTTCAGTTTAAAATTAATTAAAATGAATTTTTGCTTAATATTCAAAAAAACGAAAGCAAGTCTCTTCCTTCAGTTATCTGATTAGGTGGGTTACCAAGGGAAGGAGTTTCTCAGACAGAGAAGCCTGGATTTCTTGTCTTTTTAAACTTATTTGAAAAAACTTACATATCCAGATGTTTAAAAAAACAATTACAATGTCATCAAAACAATAATAATAATAATAATAATAATAATTTAAAAAAGTCACAGAAAGACAGTTCTGGGTAGAAAGGGACACTTTAATAAACCAACTGGAGTGCTTGATTGTGGTGAACACAAGTGCCAACAAAAAAAAATTAACAAACCAGGATGCCTGGTAGTTAAGACATTTTTAATGATTTTTTTTTCCATTAGTCAAACACATAAATTTAAGAAAGCTGAACACTTTTCTTTACGTTACAGGGGGGAATGAATGTAAGAATGCTCATTTGAAACATGGTTAACGTTTTCTTTTTTGTTGCTTATTATGACTGGACTTAGATGGTAAACCAGATATCCTGAGATGTTAATATTTCTTAAATGTTATAAATAAAATTAAGCACAGATTTGAGTGTGAGTCTCTTTCTTTCAATAATGGGTCCATTGGCTGGTACATTTGTGGGATTGGAAATAATCGTAGTTGTGTGTTTTAGGACAGTATGTATTTGTTCCATTCACTCTGCTATGTATAGTGCATATTTTTAAAGCTGCTGGGAGCAAGGCAGAAGTACTAAAAGTAAGAGAGCAGTGTCACAAGTCCTACTGTATTACTCAATTCCTAGTGTGTTACTCTTGCAGTAGGGTTACTTTGGAGTCAGAAATAACCAGCAGTGTAAGTGATGTTATTCGCTGCAAAAACTTCTTCCCGTGTTCACACCCAGGCTTCAAGCAGTTTTTAAGATGTAAATAATACTTTGACTCTTGTATTAAGGTTGTAGTTGTAGTGAGTGTGCCCTGTTCTAGATACCAGCCTTAAAAGTGCTATTCAGTTAGAGATAGTCCAGAGGAACAAAAGTACATGATAGATCAGGGTTATGTCAGTCCTTAGGGTGGTGTGTCTGGCTGCTGGCTGTGCTGTGGGAAAGTTATTCAGTGTTGTTGGAAGTTCTTCCTGGAGCAGGGTTGTAGCCTGGCCCACTGGCCAAAATGATGCTTTATGTCCTGTAATACTGTAAACTTCTCAATCACACCAATTGAAGTTTGGAGGAGACTGAGCAAAGACGTGATGTCTTTAACTATGTACAAGGCTGTTAGAAAAAGGGAAAAATTATTCTGTCTACTAGAGAGTAAACAAAAAGAGACCTATACGTTCCAGCAAGAGGCTTTATGACTCTAATGATGAGGATAATTAGGCTCTAAATGTACCTCCCTTGGTCCATGTAGTTATCACTGCACACCTGTAAATCTGACTGGGCTCATATTGCCTCCAAGCAGAACTCTGGAAATGCAGGGTCCTTTCTGTCTCATCAAAGGAACCCAGCTTCCTTCTGGGCACCTTCTGGTTTTGGCTAAGGAAACTGAGGAGCAGGCGTGTCATTGGGAAAAAAGTAAAGGGGATTAAAGATACAACTTGACTGGAGACTGATCGTGCAGCGGTGTAATAGATTAGTAGTAGTAAAGTAATTTACTCATCAAATTAGAAGTAGTAGTAATAGTTGTAGTAATTTACTCTTTTAATAGTATTGCATGTTATATTCATATATATTTTTGTAATCAAGGTTCTGTTAAGGCCGGTGGATTGTAAGTTACAGAATGGGCAATTAATCTGTCAGTACTATAAGCTGATAGTCCTGCAGCTGCAGTTTCGAAGCTGACAAAACAAGTTGTTATGTCTTACTGAATAAGTCTTTTGTATATTGTCTAAAAGTGTACGCTTAAAGTAACGAAGGGAAGGACAAGGATCAAAGGGTCAAGAACGAAGACGATAAAAAGTATCCAAGGTGGACATCTGGAAGAGACTCACACAGTAGGCCTCAAGGACTAAAAATTACCTAAGACTATGGATGGGGAAGTACCTGGCAACTAAAAGCGAGCCTGCAAAAGAACCAACCAGAACCAGACTTGCGAACTCGGATCCAATAGAAGGATAACAAGTGACTGTGGGAAGGGAATTGACAACAGTATAAAATATACTGCTTTTGTCCACTGCTTTGCTGGCCGTGTGTGGAGCAAGGGTCTCCCCGGCAGCCCAGTGTACTGTTTTGCTTATTTGCAATTTATATAAATCTTTAATAAATTTTTGTTGCTATATTTTAGCCTAAGTTTCATTTACTTATAACAGCGGGGAGAGCACAGGTTAAATACGTCTTGGTCAGTGTATCACTGGGGGTTCAGAGATGAGAACTGGTACTTGTTACCCTTCTCCCTGGGGAATGCCATGAAGGCACTAGCCCAGGGCTGCCTAGAGGTGCAAAAAGCCACCATTCTGCGGCTACAGCCATGCACAGCCAGCTGCAGTGCAGCTCGCACGGCGGGACCCGTCCTGCTCCCTGTCCGCGGCACCGCGGCCCGGCACCCGCCCCTCTCCCGCCCCGCCCGCCATTTTCCTCCCGCGGGAAGGAAAGGGAAGGGCGAGCCGGGGGGAAGCTCACGCGGTGCCCATAGCAACGGGGAGGAGGAGGAGGAGGGACTGGCTCCCGGCCTTCTGCTGCGAGGGGCCTCTGTGCCCCCACTCCGGCTGGTGAGACTGCTCCGCCCGCGCCTCCTCCTCCTCCTCCTTCCCCTTTCTCTTGCCCGGGGGCGAGGGGCGGCCCCCGAGTGGCTCGGGGTGGGACGGGCTCGTCCGCGCCGCGCTCCCTCCGCTCGGGTTCCCCGGCGGTCCCCGGTCTGTGGCACAGGGCTCCGCCGAGACACACACCCCCCCTATGCCGAGGATGCTCCGATATCCGCCAGACGCGCGGGGAAAGGCGGGGAGCGGCGCTGGCCGGCCGGGCTCGCCCGCCCTGCCCCCGGGCGACTGAGCTGGGCTGGGCCGGGCCGGGCCGGGCCGGGCTGGCGGCTCCCGCGGCCCTGGAGCTGCTGCCAAAGGCGAGCTGTGCGGGATTGTCTTTGTGTGTTATGGGAACGTCGCAACACCTAACAGTGCCTCTTTCCCCTGCTCTGTGCCATGTTCTTCTTCCCTTAATCTCTTTAGTTGAATTTTGGGCAGGTACTGATCTCAAAATCCTTAGTTAATTTTTTCCACAAAGTTTTCTCCTAGGACGTCCAGTGTTTGATACCTTTGATACCTTTTTTTTTTTTTTTTAATAGAAATTGCACTAAAATTATGGGGCCTGCCCTTCACTTTGAAAATCAGTATATTTTTTTACAGAACTGATGTTATCAGCTGTTTATTGAACTTCAGACCCAGGGCTGCTGCCTTTGTCTTGTGTCATGCAGCCATGCAGCCATCCACCCTGGGATTCTGTCTCCATGCAGCTGCAGGTCTCCAGAGGGGGAGGGGAGACAATATTTCTTCTGCTAGTGGGCCTTGTTGTTTGCTTTCTTCTGGACAAAAAACAAAAAAGGGGAAAAAAAAAGATCTTGAAGTTGCTGCACTGTAACATTGTGTTAAACACATTAGTACTTTGCCAAGTAGTGCAATCGGCCAGATCTACCTGTGATTTAAAGTTATGTAATTGGGCTGCAATCTCTAACGCTCACTTGTTATAATGAGAAATTTCTCCCTTATGGGAAAATTATATCCTGGTGATACTGTTTCTTAAAAAAACCCCAAAACCACCAAACAACAAAAAACCCAAACCAAACAACTCAAACTACAAAACATTCTTAAATATTATTCAGAAACATGAACTAGATGACCTCCCAAAGCCCCTTCCAGCCCAACCTATTCTGTGTTTCTGTGCTGCTGCTCTTTGTTCGAACAGTATTTTGCAGGATGGAGTCACAGTTTCTAAGTGAAGCAGTGATGCAGCCTGGGGAGCAGGGGAGGTGGAAGTGGAGTTACACTCACTCACAAGATTGATGGTGTGTTATAGCACACACAGGGCGTGTTCCTGTCAACCCGGAGTACTGAAACAGCTTCAACCATTCTTTCCTCTCTGTTACAAACCCAAATCTGCCTGAGCACTACTATCACACTACAGAGCACGTGAAAATAGGCACTGGTAAACTGCACAGGCTGCTTTTAGTGCTTTTTTACATATATTACAAACATGTTCATGCAATATCACATTTATATTATTTAATATTTTTTACCTCAAATTGTGTAACAGTCTACTTCTGCCATTTCTTCTCCACAGGTGGAGAAGCTGAGACACTTAATAACTTAAGACCTACAGTTTTATGCTTGCTTGACTTGCAAAACAATAGCCCACCTCTTCAGGACTTCTAACAGCGTGAAACGTAATCAAACAGTGTTAGTACATTTTGGTACTGGAATAATGACTACTGTAGAAGGTGAATACTAATTGGTTTACCTTCCTTTCATGCCTGGCTGTCTGAAACTAGTCCCCTCAGCCGTTAGATCCGCTTACATCTCATATTTCTATTTACAAGTTTTGTCAAGATATCAAGATGTTGCCAGGGGATTTGGATATGTAACTCCCATTGTTTCCAGTCATGTAGTTAATCAGTGGAAAAGCCTGAAGGGAGGACATAGGTTATTTGATTCCATGGCCTGGTGACAGAATATTTTTTTTTACCCTACTGCTTCTACATTTAGAGTTTCATTCTGTGCCACTGAGGTCACTGAAAATGTTATTGACTTTGGTGGGAGCAAAATATCAGACTGCTGAAAAGTGAGCTGTGACAGAACAATGCTGTAATTCTATCAAGAGAGCGACACAGGATGACTAACATATTGTACAAAGAACTGCCTTTAATTTTGACATCAGTTTATCCTGAAGATGATCTGTGTAGCTCAGTCAAGAGCAGTTACATGGTATGCTCACTTGGTGAAGGCTCTGGTGCCCTCCAGTGTGATATGCCATGCTGTGCTAAGTCCTTAGGCAGCTGGCAGCAGCATGTGGAGCACCTGGGAAGTGATGGCTGAGAGCTTGTTTGCCCAAGTGAGAAGCCTTCCTGGTGTTATATTTGTAAATGTGATTAATGAAAGAGTTTGTGATGCCCACCCACAGTTTAAGAAGTGAACCTGCTTGGGGTTTTGGGGTGAACCTGCTCTGACACTTGCTAACATGGAGTATCTCCCCTTCCTGCTCTTCCTGTGCTTCTTGTCATCCTTCTGCTGGGTTTTACTCTTGGGCCCTTTACTGGGGCTGAAGGGCCACGCGTGTCTCAGGTTTTGGCATATTGTTTTGTTCCTGACAAACAGCAGTGACTTAGGAGTTCCACTGATATGAATCTCAATCATATGTTACTCTGGACATTTTATCTGGTTTTGTGAAGCTATCACACGGATGTTTCTTTGATTCATCACTTATTATGTATCTCTTATATGTTGCTGATTTAAGCAACTGACTAATGCCCTTTTATTGTTCCTCACTAGTTGTTGAGAAGAAGCAAAATTATACTAGTGTGCATGAAGCAGTGAAAGCTGGTGATGTAGAACAGCTTGCATTGATGATTAAAAGTGGAGCTGGTGTTAACGATGTGGATGTAGTCCACAAATTCACACCCTTGCACTGTGCTGCCCACTCCGGAAGTCTGGAGGTAAAACATTACATTGGTGTTTAGTCACAGCCAGTTTTTTGTAAGTTCATATTTCCTTCTTTGGGAGAGGCTGGACACAACATTGCTATCTTGAGTCAAACTGAATCAATAATCTCTGGCTGCTTTTCTCATTAAATATATTCACCTAGAGCAGAAGTACAGCATTTTAGATTTTCTTTTCTTTTTTTTTTTTTTCTGAAGCCCCAGACATTTCACCTAATCAACTTTGTCAGATTTTACTAAATCGTTGATTTTCTTACTCATCAAAATGTGCCTTATGGCCTCCCTTCCAGACTCATGACCTCCTTTTGTCCCTGTTGTGTTTTCCTCTTCTCTTGAGAGACCTGGAAAATCCTACAGAATGTGTAAAATGTTCTGAAGGTGATTGAAACAGATAAAAAGTGACATGAAAACATGTTCATTCTGTTTACCAATGTCCCATGCCTCGTTCTCTATAGAAGTAGTCTTAATACATTTTATTTTAATAAATTAAAATTTTGAATAATGATGAAGAAATCAGCAGGTGCTTGCATGAATGTTTTGAACTTCCAGAAAAGTTGAACTGCTGTATTCAACACAACATTGCTTTTCTTCTTGTAGCCTTCTTGTTCAGTCTTCATAGCAATCTAACCTTGAAGCAACAAGGCCATTCGTGTCCCGAAGAAAAGCATGTAAAGTTCTTGCTAAACTCAAGAAATAATAAGTGCAGTGCTACTTCTGCCATGTAGAGAAACTGTCAAGAAAATGATAATCATCATTTTGTCAGCCCCAAAACTGGATTGCTTATCCACCCTTTTCTGCCTCTGTAAATTCTGTCATTTTTCATTTGACTCTTCTACTTTGCAATTGATATATTAGACTTTTTTCAATTGTCTGTCTTCTATTTGTTTCTAAGCTCCTTGGTAGAAATAGTGGAGGAACCAGAGCTGAAGTATGGCCTGAAACAAGATAATAAATTATAATAGTATCTAATAAAAAGTTTTAACTGTCCCTCTAGCTGGATAGTCCATAAAGCTTTCCATTGCAAGCAATAGTATCTGCTGGAAGAAGTGAATAAAACAAAACTAGGCCATGGAAGAGTGAGAAGAGAGATGGGATTACATAGACCTAAGGAGCCTAATAATTTAAATGAGGTTTTGAATTTAGTTCATGGTATTTTGCCTACGAGCAATTTTAGCTGGAATTCATGTGAGGATGTTTGCATTGTTTTTTCCAATGCTTTTACCTCATGCCATGTGAATATTCTCACAGATTACATTTTAAATCTGAAAGAGTAAAATTAAGAAGCCATACTGTAAAATCAATGCTAGGGTCTGATTTAGTAGGTTATTTGCACATTTTGTACCCTTGGGTGAAACCTGGAAAGTATAACTTACCTGTAAGTTTCTAATGCCCAAATATCTGACTAAGGCATGCTCTGGGATCTCATTTCCATAGTGAAGTATTCCAGCACTGTTTTGCAATGTAACATCAACAGATAAATTCTAGTTAAAATGTGCCTCAGATACATGGTATGAACAGCTAAATAAAAGCCACTTTGGTTTTGGTTGAGCAGTGCCTTCACTGGTTGCTCTGGCATGGAGCTGACACAACTCACGTGACTGTCAGAGGCTGGACAGCGGCTCACCTTGCGGCCATCCGAGGGCAGGATGCCTGCATGCAGGTATGTGTAAATATTCGCTCTCAAGCAAAAGTATGTAGGGCAGACCTTAATTTTGGACAAAGTCATTATGCAGATCAGTTGAGGAAGCTCCTAAGGGAGCTGTGAGTAGCTAGCTCATCTTGGCGTCTTGGCATCTGGGATGAAGTCACTCATTTTAAAACCAGTGCACTCATCTGCACTGTCTGTAGAAACAGATTATTTTGTGCAGTGCCAGGACCTTGAAGTCAACCCAGAGTTATCCTGCTGATCATCGTAACCTGTTCATCTAGGCAGTGTTTGCTTTTTCAGCTTGTGAAGTGAGCTTCTGCTTTGCATTTCTTTTAGGCTTTATTAATAAATGGAGTAAACACAGAAGCTCAGGATGACCGTGGGTGCACGCCGGCACACTTGGCTGCAGCCCACGGGCAGTCCTACACCTTGCAGACCATACTGAGAAGTGGAGCGGTGAGACACTTCTACCTGCAGTACCCTAGTGCAGAGACAGGCTGGTAGCTTTTCCCAAGCAAAACTGTCCCTAGCTTAAACTGAGATTTAAGACTGTAGATTAATTACTGTTGGTGAATTTATTTTAAGGGTAAATTTCTGTTTTTTAAATTGTAATATACATTTAGGAAAATGATTCAAAAATCTAGAGAGAATCAATAATGTAAGTAAATCACATTCCACTGAGGATGTCATTAAATGAAGATCAGGTGCTGTGGTGGTGGTCATTTTTTGCAGTTGTACAAATCTTCTATAGTAAAGGAGACACAAACTTAAAAAAAAAAAAAAGAAAAAATCCAGTTGCATATTTACAGAGTAATGACCACTACAGGTCATTATGATACTAAAATGTGTCTAAAAATGCACCCTTTATAAGTGTATTAAGTAAAAGTGTGAAAAGTCTTGGAATGGGAACTGCATATATGGTATGAACTTTGAAAAATATTATTTGATTTGATTTAAATAATATAACACAATGAACAGCCGATTACTATATATAAAATTTCTCTTGTGTCTAAGATTCAGAAGTGAATGAATTAACCTGCTGCTTTCATTTTAGAATGTAAATGTTTCAGACAGGAATGACTGGAAACCTGTTCATTATGCTGCTTTTCATGGTCGTTTGGGGTGTTTGCAGCTTCTTGTTCGATGGGGAGCATGTATCGATGATGTGGATAACAATGGAAACCTTCCAGGTATATCAGGATAAATCATACGTTTTTAAGCCTTTGGTTTGCAGTTGTTGTGTTTTGTGATAATTGAGCAAATTTCAAGTAATGCACAGCAGCAACATTTGCTATTTGATTCCATGCAGTTAGCATAGATAGTCCATTTTTCTCATGATGGGAGAATTTATTCAATCCAAAGTATAGTTCTGTTGTTGACGGTATCCCATTCACCTCTTGCTGCTGCTGGCAAGGATCAGAGCTCATGGGTGCTGGAGTAGGGAGCAGGATGAACCTGATTGAGAGCACTGTGTAGTGCAGCATCTCCTATGTGTGTGGTAGAGCAGGTGTGCCCGTGGAGGTCACAGGAGATGGGTGGCTGCAGCAGGAGGCAGTTTCAGCTGGTAAGTGCTAGTTTTTGAATTTGTGCCAAATTCAGGCTTTAACGGCTGTGCCACTGTGATCAGGTTGTGTGTTCGTTCATCTTGATTTGTGGAATACTGATCTTTCTGTATTGTCTGTAGTATGTTCTCTTTTCATAATCATGAGCGTATTCATTTTGGCACAAAAAAATGGGCAGTGTTTATTCCTTGCTCTTCATAGTTTCTCCAGTGTCTCTGTGCCTACCATGCCACTGCCTCAATATCCTCTGTAAGCTGAATGGTATTGTTCCTGTCTTGGGTTCTCATTGCATCCTTTCCCTTTTAGCATTTTCCTTCTTATGGTTTGTCATATTATTTGTTGCAAAGACCATATTTTTTTCCTCTATAACTTGTACGGAGTTCTCGTTTTAAATCCCTTCTTAAAATCCTTTACCCTCTATTAAGAGCTACTTACCTAGGAAACGGAGAGCTATGTTCTGTTCTGCATACCTAGGTCTCCTTAGGAGATATGAGGCTCCTGCATCTCAGCAGGAGATCTGGTGCATTAGCAGGAAGGGGTCATGATGTTAGGCACCCTGGTGGCAGTGTAGAAGGCAGCTTTATTTGCATTTGGGAACACTTCTCCCATAACAGACTTCTGTGGAGATATAGCAGATGCCAGCCCAGTTCTACTTCAGTGCTCTGTATATACTGGTTAGTAGAGAATTGGTTATGTTGTATTTTGACATCCTACAGAAGCTTGATCTTCCAGCCTTTGTTCTGTTTTATTTGATCATATTGTCATCCAAAGGAAAGAAAAAGCTTTGGAACATGACTCGTAAAAGATTAGTAGAAGTGATACACTGTACAGACCAGCTTTGCCTCAGTTTGTGTAACAGCGAAGTGAACTTAGATTATTTTTGCATGCTTCAGCTTCAAGATTAGCTGAACAGTGCTATAATTTTTCCTAAGAGAATACTGAAAGAAATTTTCTGAGGTTGCAGTGCCGGACATCTAAAACTTAAAAACTGGCTGCACTTTTTGCATGTGTGTGTTACAGCAGAGGGTCTTATTGCCTTTGCTAATTTGCATGCTAATTTTTTGGAAGAAAAAAATCTTGTGGTTCATTCAACGTACAGAATGGGCTGTGATTATTAATTCAACATTTCGTTTTCTCTCTGTATTAATTTTTGGGCCACATCCATATTTCTTTTATTGCTCACTAGTCAAACATATTATAAATATTTTTCGCACTCTTTTTTCACTTGTGGCTCTGAGAAGGGTGAGTAGTGTTAGCCTGACTTAATGAAAGGCAAGATAAAACACAGAGAAGTTGCGATACCAACACCAACTAACCACTGCCTATTTGTGATGCCTGAGACAAGGTTTTTCAAAGTTCTTGGCACTAAGCTGCATGTTTTGATGTTACTGTGTTAACATCACAATACCCTTTGACTTTAGTCTCAACTGCAGGTGCTCAGCATGACTGAGGATGGGATGGCACAGTTACATGTTGGGTACTGGCTACTAAGACACACGCAGGTTAAGCCACCTATGAAAAGTTCCTTTATGTGTATTCCACAGCATTCCACTGAAACTGTGCAAAAAGACTTGAACAGAGCACAACTCTTTAATCTATTTTCCCCTTGCCATCTTTGCAGAAAACGTTGAACTTTTTTGATTGCTTTCTGCACAGGACAAACATCTGATAAAAAAGTTTGATTCCAAGAGGTGAAGTTTTATCCTGGAGATTTTAGGTATCTGAAAATGGATTCGTAAGGGTTGAGTCAGTTTTTCAGTAGCTGACTATTAATCAGTACTTACCTTTAGCATTGTACCTGTTCTTTTCCCTTCTCCCTGAGTACCTCACTCACTGAATAAAATTCAGACAATGGGAAAAATGGCTCTAATTTCAATAAAGCTCAGATTTTGAGCAATCATCTGTATCAAAGTATTGTCATCTTGCTGTAAAACCAATATCCATCACCTTTTAGAGCAATTACGCTCTGGGAAGCTGTGAATGGTTTCCTATAGAGAATTGTGTGTGCCCCAAATGAAGTGACATGTTTTTTCTAGATCCTGGGTACATTGTTTATTGACTATGAAGGTAGTGGGATTCTTACCTGGAGACAAACTAATCCTTTGGCCTCTAGAACATTAGCCAGCTTTTACAGAGCATTGTCATGGAGAACACATAATAAACATTTGGCAAGTTCTTCCTATTAATGGGACTAGAGAATAATTACTCATTTCAAAATAATCAACTTGTGTTTGGTACATCTTACTTTCTTATAGGCCCAGCACTCTCGTAGTAATAAATAACTAAACCTCTTCATAGCCTGAAGGTCAGGTGAGGAATGTACCTTCGAATACTTTACCCAACAAAGTGCTTGTCAGTGTCCTCCTTTTGTAGTTGGGGTGTCTGAGGGTGTGATGCAGCTTGTTTGTGGTGGCACAGTAGAGTTGGGCCTAAAGCAGAAATGGCCTTAACACCTCATCAAGGACACCACTTGCTGTTGCTCCATTATGGGTATCCCAGGACAGCGAGGTCAGACAGCTGCTGAAGACTGAGATTTGTGTTCATGGGGAAGATGAGACCCCAGCAGTGCATTCTCTTAACTAGTGCCCAGTGGTCTGTTGGGAGTGTTGGTTTGTTTCCTACAGTCAGCTCTGCCAGGGAATCTCCTTTGCAGATCCTATCCTTGACACCTTTCTTCTACCTCCTTTGCATAGAGCTCATCTCTGTCCTGGATAGGAGCTGAACATGCCCTATTGAACCGAGGCTGCTCTTACTTCTTGTACACTGCTGGATGGCTCAAGTGCTGGTGGATGATCCAGATCTAACCAGTTGTGAGAGCACTGCTTTCTCCATGGACAGCAGGGCTCTGCTCTAATACACTTTGTTTCACCTTGTGCTGTAGCCCACCTGGCAGCAGTGGAAGGACACTTGCATTGCTTTAAGTTCTTGGTTGGGAAAATGGCCAGTGTCACACACACGCTGAAAGCCAGGAATGACCAAGGAGAGACTCCAAGGGACTTGGCTGAACAGTTCTTTAAAGATAATATTCTGCAATATATTGATGGTATGGAAAAAGAGGGGGAGCATCCAGAGGCACAGGAAGGTGAGTATGGATCAAGATACGGTTAAAATAGGCATTATAACTAATTACGTAGAAACGCTTGATTCTGAAAACTTGTGTGAGCAGACGTATAACATTTTAATTATCAGTATAAGGAAGAACTTCTTTTTAATGCTTACTACATTTACTGGTAGCTAAAGGCTGGGATACGCAGTATGATTTTATAAATGTCTTAGGTTTATCCGTGATCACGCTGTGTTGCACTATGAATACCAAGTTGCCCACGTTCTTTTTAGACTCCAGCAAAGATCCAGAAAAACTGTAAAATTTTCATTAGTTTGCAGATCTGTCTGCACAGAATCTCTTACTTGAATTGAATAGCAACTTAGCCTGAAAATGTCCCACTGAAATGAACGTTATTCGCTAACTAGCAATACTATGGTAGTCAGAACAGCCAAAGGATGCAAATGTGGCAAGGTCTGTAAGGAGAACCCTCAGCAGAACATGGATATGACAATTGTACCTTCACCTCTCTACTTCTGGGAACTTACTGTCCTTATCTGCTAGTCTTTTTTCATTATGCATAAAAGTATATTGTCTGTAGTCCCTGTCTATAAAAGATAACTAGAAAAATCAAATTGTCTGTATGAGTATGAGAAATAAAATAGTTTATATATTTGGAATTCAAAACAGGCAAATTACTCCAGTTACCACCAGTAGTACAATCTCAATCGTAAAACAAAGCTATACTTGTTACTTCAGGTCTATGAAATTAATTTCTTAACTGTGTGAGGTGCCTGTAGTCATAACCAAGACATGTTTAGTCAAGTCTGTGGTGAACACTGCTAGTTACACAGCTGCATTTTGCCAATTAAGGTGCACTAGCCTCCTTAAATACAAAGCATCCATACATAAGTTACTATGAGAGAGGCCAGCTGTGAGAGACAAATACCAACATGTTTAGTAGAATTACTGGCATCTGTTTGGAAACATGTGCATTTCATTTTCAGTTTTAGCTTTCCCAGCTCATGACGCTGCTTTCAAAGGGGACTTGTTAGTGCTTAGAAGATTAGTGAAAAGTGGAGTAATCAATATCAATGAGCGGGATGATAAGGGGTACACTCTCATGCACAAAGGTCAGTAATTACGATCTGTGTTTCAGCTTGTTACTGTTTGTTGCTGACGTGTTTACTTTGTTTTTCAAGTGGCTGCTCATCAGATAAACTTCATGAAAAACAGCATCTCATTTGTGAGGGCTCAGAAGTGCAACCCCAAAAAACATATTTTGTGATGTATTTGTGTGTAGGTGTCACTTTAAAGACAAAATCACCAAGCTGAAGTCAAGAAAAAAGAGTTTATAATAGAGAGGTATCAGCATCTAAAAGGAAAACTAAATAGTGGGATTCTTTGTTTAGCCTTTTTTTTTTTTTAATCAGGCAAAATGTGGGTTTTAGAAACGTCTGTCTGATCAGGTATAAGAATGGTCTGTATTGTGGCCTGGGCCTTTATTTACTGAACATAGCAGTACTGGGGGGATGTTTTGTAAAAATCACAACAAAATGGGGATGTTTTATAAAAATCACAACAAAGTCATTTGGTAGGGTGCTGCAAAGGAAGGTAAATTTCAAGTATCTAACACCTTGACATGTAGTGGAGTGCTAGCACTACAGAAAAAATAATCCTCTTGTATTTGGGGTTTCATAGTAATGTCTGAAAGAGAAAAATGGGAAAGAAACAGGGAGGCATTTTTGTAATATGCTTTTACCCCTATTTCCCACATTTGTTTTTGACTAGATACAACGATAGAATTTTAAAAAACATAATTGAAGTTCTCATTAAAAAAAGATATGTAGTGATTTTAAAATGTTTTCTGCATTTTTTCCCACTTTCTTTTCTTGGAATGGTGCTAACCTACAATTGTTTCATCCCCAGACTTTACATCCTGATATTGTAATTTCATTTCCCTATCTCAGTAAGAAAACAAATATAACAAATATCCAAAAGGGAGTGCTATCAATAAATTAATTTACTCTTCCTTGAGAAAAATAGTGTACAGTTTCAACTAGACTTGCCAAATATCATCTTCCATATGTAAGACATCGTTCCTGGCACCACCTGGTATGAGCAGTGGCCATGCCAGATCATATGACTGGGCTTGTGTGAGGCTGCTGCTGAGTAGTGTTGTCTTGAGTGTCTGCCTTAAGAAGTGATGCACCTATAGCTCCAGCACAAAGCCCTGCTTCTCTCCTCCATGAGGGAGCTTTGCACACCACAGGTTGGGGCAATCAGCTGTGTCTGGTGCATGGGAGCCTAAAGCCAGGGAGAGGTGACAGCACTTTGCTGCCGAACTAGGACACACAGGCCTTACTGCAAGAGAGCGTGAGGCAGCGGTGATTTGTGTCTCATGCTCAACACATGGAACTGGGCAAGTTTAATTTAACTTGTGTCCAGGAAGAGCTGCCAGTACATTTCTGGAACTAGAAAGAGTTACCAAACCACGCTTCCCCAAAACTGTGTGTACCCGCGTGATTTGAGCATCTTGACACATAGGCTTCTCTTGAAATAGTATCTCCCCTGTGGTGTCTTAGAGAACCCAACCTCTGGCATGTCAAAGAATGACAAGAGGAGGACATTTTAGGTTTGAAACCCTTTAGTTGTATATAACTTACTTGTGTGCACCTTCCTTCCTTTAGCTGCTGAACAGGGGCATATCCATTGCTTACAGTGGTTGATTGAAATGGGAGCTGACTGTGACATTACAAATGATGCTGGAGAGACTCCAAAGGATGTAGCCAAGAGGTAGCAGTACATATCCTGTAGCTCTGACATTTATTTACTTACTATTTGAATATCAATATCATGTCAGCTTTGTTGGAATTAATCCTGATTTTCAGTGATGGAGAAAGAACAGATCAGGCCCATGAATTCCAGCTCTGAGTGCTAAGCAAAGCTGTATTGTAGCTATGAAAGGTTTTACTTTTTCCTTATTTTATTTTAATTTTCTTTTCAGCAAGGTCAGACAAAAAAAGGAAAACCAGCTGATCTGAAAAAGGAGAGTTGTGAGCCAGTCTGGTCACAGTTTGCCGTACAAAGTAATTGAGAAGTAGTGGAGGCCAGCTGATTTTTGCATTAATAAAAATAATGCAGTTTCTGATGAGATTCAATTAAGAAATCCTGCAAAGGAAAAAGATACCTCTGATGTAGGAGTCATTGCCGTAAGATTCCATTGAGGCAGAGCTCACACTATAAGAATATTACAAAAAGCAGATAGATAGCTGCTCACAGTGTGTGTACCAGTGCTTCCTTTAATCCTGAAACCCCTCTGATAAATGGGAACATGGACAGTTTCAGAGAGTTTCTATCATACGTGTTTTTCTGGATGATGGGCGTATTTCAGTGTTGGTTTAACTGTTCTCTGTGCAGATGTGCCCATCTGGCAGCTGTGGAACTTCTGATACCAAGAACTGGAGACAGTAACTCTAGTGATGAAGAACTAGATGCAAACAACATAAAGTTTTTTGAAAGACATGGTGTGGAAGGGAGTACAGATAGCAAAGAAGATTTAACCCTGGATGAAGCAGAGAAAAGGAATGCACGGAGTAAGCACTGTATTCCCATCATTCCTTGTTTGAAAAAGTTGATATAAAGACATTATAGTCATAGTTGCACAGTTCCTGCTAACTGCTGGGACCTTTCTGTTGTAAGATGTGATAGTTGACAGGGTATCTGTACCACTGAGCATTCAAACAAATTGTGGAAAATTAGAAAGCATAGCGGGGGGCAATCAGAACATAATTGTTACACCATTTTAATCCATGTTGGTGAAACTATATTGGATTGCTACTTGTTTTTGAGATCTCTTTGCAGTGTGGGTGTCAGCTGTAGCTCAGTATTTGCTGAGCAGTGTGATTTCTGCTCTGTGTTTGTGAGACTGTTTTCCAGACTATTGGATTCCATCATGACTGCCTTGTCCATGCATTTTACCTGCCTGGAGAACTCTGTCTTACAGTAAGGGCCTATCACAAGATTCAAGAACTTCAGCAACGTCTAGAAATTGCCTACAGCAACTACAGACAGCTGGGAGGGATAACTGAAGAGGAGAGGAAGATGAAAAGAGAAGAAAGGAAAGCTGAGAAGTAAAGACATTTTGCCCTCCTAATGTTTAACTTCGTGGACCCCATTTTAAAGCCTTTTTTAAGGCTGACATACACTCAAATTTGCTTTGCCCAGTCTGTCTTTTCCAGTTGCCAGCTTTAACCAGGTCGAAAAGAAATGGGCTGCAGCAATTCCTCTGACCATTTCTAAACTTCTACCACCAGCTCAACAGAAGTACTTAATAGGTCTACACTTCTTGGGCAAGATCATCTATTTGGTCTTCAGGTTTTCCTGCAGTGTATGTGCAGTAGGTCTGATAAGTCCTGGCTGTTTTGTTTCCACTGAGGATGCCAAAGATGTGTATGCACTTTAATAAACCTGAAAAAAGGCATTAGTCTTAGCATGGCTTGCATGGAAGTGCATATACAGCAGAGATTATTCAGTGACCTGCTACATTTCTGTGTCAAGGGTAATATATTTCTATGCTCAGGAAAGCATTAGCTTGTATCCAGACCACAGAAAAAAACCCCAAACTATAAGCAAACTTGCCCTTGCCCATGAAGAACTATTCATAATGTCTGTCTAATTCTCAGTGTCTCCTTTAAATCAAAGGGTTCTGTTAGACTGGTCAGGTGATTTGATGGACAGACTGTCTACATTTCAAAGAAAAGTCCTTCTGAGTATCAAAGATTTAGAGCTTAAAGAATAATGCAGTATCCAAAGACAGGCCTGTCTCCACCTCTACCTGTCAAAGATTTGGCTACCCACAGATCTCAGTCTCTGTAGATAACCACCTCCATAATGTGTTTGGACCACCCCAAATCACTGTCTTTATTTGGTTACCGAGAGGAGACTTGTCCAGAGGGCTTGTATGCCATCACGAAGGCAGCAGACTTACCAGTCAGTGTAGATCTGGAGCATGTAATAGGTGTCACAGATTGCCATTAAGTAGTTTGTTTTACAGCCATATCTGAGCCAAGAAACTGAGGACAGGATTTCTTTTGGTTCCAGGTCACCCTTTGACTCAGCCTAGGCTGAAAGTCCATCTTTGTTAACTTGATATGTCTGCTATAGCTAACGGATACCTGCATCTGAGTTAGTGACCTTGAGCTCCTTTTTAGACTTCTTGGAGAGATGTAGGCACTTTCAGGGCATAATTAGGCACGTATTTCAGGTGTGATTCATCACTTCTAGGAGTGTCTCTCCTGGCTTCAAAGGAGGAGGGTGACTAGCTGAGGTGTTGATACCTATGTTGGAGAAATCTGTTTTTAATGATGGAAAAGTCACTGTTGACTAAAGGCATACATTAGCGTTCATTTTGGATAGAACAGTGCCTATTAGAGGGCTCTGATGAGGCTCTATAAGGGTCATTGCTTTCTGTGGCATGGATGGCTAAACTAGAAAAACTGTGAGGCTCTGAAGAGTCTTTCTCACCTGTGGAGGCTGGAAAGCATACCTAGCCCCAAACTATCCTTTTCAAATGGAAATAGTGCTTCTCAGCATACCTACCTACCCTTCTCAGGGTACCTATCTGTGGGTAAACAGCAAGATGCTTGTAACATAGGCCAGAAAACCTATTACTGAAAAATATTTAATGACAACACCATTTTGCTTGATTAAAAGCAGGAGTTGCTACTTGGGAAGGCCACTGTAACAGATTTTGAAGATTTCTGCTCTAGTCCATGTTTTCTGGCTGTAAGAGGCCTTGTGTGAACCACTGCACAGTGCTTTAACCAGGCTGCATTGCATGGAAAAAATTGCCACCATGTGTGTGCCACAGAGTTTTGGAGCTGTGCCTCTTTAATTTGAAGTGTGCAAGAAGTTGGCTGTCCCCTGAACACTGAGCACAGGCCACTCTTGCAGTGTCTTTAAGGCTGGTTTGAGCCCATGAGTCAGGAATTGCCTTAGCTCTTGATGACAGCTTTTTTGCCGTGCTGTTTGAATCCACAGGACAGATGTCTCCCTTTTCCTTTTACCGATCTTCCATCTTTGTAGCTATGCTAATTCATCCTGATTTAGAAAAGAGCCGGCTCAATTCCAGATGACTCAGTTGCTGAGGTCAACTGCTGTTAGAATGTATGTGAATCACGTCTCAGCTAAACAGTTTGCGGAATCTCAAGTAATTAGGAGCTGTTATGGATGTGACCAGTGAGATCTTGTGCAATTGTGTGTAAACCAGTGCATCAGTTTCCCTTGAGTAAGGGTCAGGAGCAGCTTTTTCGTTTACATCTGGTGCTGCTGCATCCTTCCTACTGGTTGGCTTAGGCACGAATGAGGAATACTCAGATAACAGCTTGCATGACCCTTCCAGAATCCCAGCCTTATGCTTTTTCTCTGTTTCGTAATAACTTTGCTGCTCCTTGGGCACTTCTTCCTCTCCCATGGCTGGAGATGGACCCGGTCACAGGCTGCACGAGCCCCAGGCTCGGTGTGTGGGCAGACATCTCCATCTCGTGGTCAAATTGCGCTGAGCACAGCTGGCAGCGGAGAGGGAAAAGCTGCTGTTTATACAGTTGTTACAAAGGGTCTGGAGCCAGGAGCACAGCTGGTGTGAAGAGTACTGCACTGCTTTCTTCGTGACTAACCTGCTCCCTGGCAAAGGCACAGTACCATGTGGAGCGGCCAGGGCAGGTTTGGATGTAGTTCATGTTCTGCTTGTCTCCTTTGCTTTTGACAGGGCTGTGAGGGAGCTGGAGGCCCAGCTGGAGTATGAGCGAGTCAGGCGGGAGAAGCTGGAGAGCCAGCTGGATGACTACCGTGCTGAGATAAGCCACCTTAGGGAGAGCCTGGAGAAAACCTGCATCCCCTCTGCTGTCCCCATGGTAAGTGCCACACTCCCCCAGTGTGTGGGACAGAAGCTACTGCCTGTAGCTTGTGTATGTTGTTCCTTCTAAGATTCCCAGGCATGGTGCTAGGAAATACTAGAGAAAAATGTGCTAGCAGCTTTTAGCTTAGGACATGGAAGTGAGCAGGAGCCTTTGTCTGTCCTAACAGTATCTCTGCTGTGAAAGGAAATCAGCTTCTCTTTGTACCCTGGCAGAGAAGCACCAATAATATTCTGCATAATAGTAAAAGGAGTGTACTGATCCCTGAGTACTTCCACATGCATATACAGTGACTGGCAGTTCTTCTTGGCTGGTAGCTGGTACCTGAGACTGGCCTGCTGCCTCAGGAGAGATGTCATCACCTAAAGGGTGAGCCTGTGAGTTGAGAGATCATAACCATGGGTCCCCAAAGGGGGACAAAGAAAATAACAGTCTCACTTCAAAGATGATCTATGTCACAGAGTCTGGAATCAGCCAGGCATCCTGAGTGAGAGTCCAGGATCTCATAGAAAGTTTGTGCAGAGAATTCAGTCTATTTAGGAAAGGAAAAGTACATGTGGCACGGGAAGTTCTCAGACAGAGAGGCTCCATTTTGAATTGAATATTAAGGCCTTTTTATATCATAGAGGCGTAAGAGGGAAGAGGACACCACCACTGTAAGCCGCCAATAGATGCTGATGTTTCCATTTCTAATTTTTTACTTTTCACCTGCATAGCTTGTATAGCCAGTAGATGATGAGTTTTCTATTATTTCAGACCATTTTTTATTTCCCGGAGTATTTTCCACCTTTTCAGTCAATTGCTCCTACAGTCTCTTGTTTTTGCACTTATTGGTGGTATCTTGGTATGGCTCTGAATTCTAGGTACCGCAGCTGTACTTCAAAGAGGCCAGCTGCACTTTTCAAGGATGCTTCTGGTTCTCAGCCTCACAATTCCCTAGCTGGCAGATATTTTCTTTGTCAGCATTTTTCAGCTGGTGTTTTTTTCCTGGTAATTTTCCCCTTCTAACCAGGTCAGCTTTTTGGCTGCTCACATTAGGTGTCAACCTGCTGTGTCAGTTCCCACCCCCTGGCTGGCAGGTTTTGTAGCAATTGCAGCTTATACTTTAGGATATTTCTTTTGCTTCAAAACTCCTTCAAAACAGGTTTGCTATTCTCTCTTTTACACCAGACTGGGAAGTGAGTTGATGGAGGACTGTAGTACAGGACTTTATTGATGTGTGCAGTGGCTGATTGCAGAGAGTGTTCTTGTATGACATCTGCTATCATCCCAATTATCCAGCCCTCTCACAGCAAAGAATATACACACAGATATGAATTATTGGTTGGCTTAGCAGGCAAAGACAGAAAAACTGTAGCTTTTCAAAAAATGAAATCTTGAGGATAGATCAGAAGTTCACATGCTAATTTTTGGGGACAGGTGAGCTGGCATTTCAGACTTTTGCTGCCCAATATAACTCTCAAAAATTGATTTGACAATCAAAATCCTGTTTGTCAGGTTTTTATCATCCAGTCAAGTTGTCAGCCTTGGATGAAGCACCTAAATTCCTTACCCTATGGGTGTGGGGGCTGGTGTGCAGTAACACTGTTGGTTCTTAGGAAAAGATGCCCGTGGAAAAGGCACGTGGCAGGGCTGTTCTTGGAGCTCCGCTTAACTGCCCTGGCCATTGCACTGCCTTGTCTATGTAACTGTTTCTTTGGCTCTGCTACATCCAGGATAAAAGTCAGGCAAGGACTCATCACTGGCAACATGGGCAACTCAGATTTAAGTCCTTCGTCTGCCTAGAGGAGTCAAGAATACCCATCCTGGAGGAATGTTCTAAGCAGCCCAACCTCTGCTCTTGTGAGATGGAGCCATATTCATTCCCCTGGGGGCAGCTGTGCAGTGTAACCACTGTATTTCAATATTCACTAGTCCAGAGGGAGTAAGTCATAGAAAATAGCTTTTTAAGCAGATTATTAGGGTTCATGAAAAAGCACAGGAATTTTCATCCCAAGAATTTTAGTCCTTCTGTTGTCATCATCTGACCCCAGGCTAATAACAGCTTGCTTTAAGACATGATTCATTATACTTCCCTGGCAGGTTTAAAAATGTAGAACAACTATGGCACAGAGTGCCCCATTCCTAGGGTGGAAGAGTGGCTGTAGTTGTTTTTATCCACAACAGTCTGAAAAAGTCTAGCTGAGCTTTGGATTTACTGGCTGGGACTGGAGACAACTACCAAGGCAGGTTTATTTTCAAGAACTGCTCTGAGTGACTGCTACAGCCAAGGGGCCTTCCACTTACACTGCTGTGCTGCCATCCCATGCCCTGGGACTATGCTCTGCCCCCTGCTTCAGTTTGAACACAGTGTTCTGTGGTTACTCACAGCCATAGATTTTAAATCCTTCCAGTGATTGCTGTTTAATGGCTGAATATCCTTTGTTTCAGGAAGCTGAGGCAATTGCCAAGTCTTGCAAAGACAAAAAGAAAATAAAGAAGCAGCCAGCCTGCAGCCCAGGAGGAGTGTTTGTGAGGCTACGCTGAGGAACGACCCTCCAAGGAGGGGCAGGAGACTGCAAAGGTAGAAAGGCAATATTCCAGACAATGCAAAGTTTGCATGGCCCAGCTGCACAGATGAGTTGTGGTTCTCTGCCTTTCACTGAACTATGGTTTTAGTTCTCTAGTTCTCTGGTGCAGCAGTAGAAAATGTAGTTTAGCAACATCTTTGCAAATTATAAATTGACATTTCAACAGTTAATACAGTCTCCGGGAGAATTACTTCTCAGCTGCAGACAGGTACCAGGCACCTTGATTTTCATCTTCAAGTCATTCCTGAAGAAGCCAGGAAGTGACTCCTTTGTGAGGTGCCAGACGAACTGCAGCAGCAGGCCTCTAGCTCAGGGCTGAAGAGTTTACTAGGTTATGGGGCACGTTGTGGTGAGAAATGGCAACCCTGACCTCTCCTCCATACCTAGAAAACATTTAATTACTACACCTATAAAATTTTTTCTCTCATCTGTGTGCTATTGTGAAGTTATTTTCCCTCTGGAAGCCTCATTTTGAGATTATTTTTTTTAGTGCTCAAGTCCTGATATGTCCTCTCCTTAAGTACCAAAGAAAACAAATCTCTGAGAATTTCAGAGGTACTGGAAAATAAAAATCAATGTTTTTCTGTGCATACTGAAGGAGAGGCACACTGACTAACAGCATAAGCCTTGTATGAGAGCTAAAGAGTAGAAATTCAGTCTCAAGAGCTCACTTCAGGGTGTGTGAGATGATGATGGTGAGAAGCTGCAATACATGAGCTCTTTCCTACCTCACCACTGGTGCTAAATGTTAATGTAGGAACACTCAAATAGTCAGATGGCAAATATAAGAAATTAATTTTATTTTCTTGAATGAAGATAATAAATAATTTAATGCATAGAATATAAGAATTAGCAGAATACCAGCAAGTTCAACTGTAAACAGAATAAAATCTCAATAAAAAAAAATTGCCACTACTCACTACTACATAGTCCTTAGCCCATAAAGGGCCCATTCTTATTTCGAAGTTAATCCAGAAGGACTTCTTTAAAAATTATTATTTTACTACAAGAATCAAACCAAGCGTATGCATTTGTACTTGAGATGTGACTGCTTCAGTTTTGAAGGCATCCACCTGCTATGTTGCATCTCTGCAACAAAAGTTTTCAAGTCCTTGCAGAAGGTAGATGGGTTAGGAAAGTCAGTGTGTCAGGATTACAGAACAATCCCGAGGAGTGTGGAGATGGGAGGAGGATCACCACCACCACCACCACCACAGTGGCACCACTGAGATGCTGAGTATTTCCATGTTACTGTGCCCAGAAAATATGTCTGGGTTCATTAGAAATACTCTGCACTACCTGAAAGGGGGAAATTAAGAGTACTTATCTGGCCCAGGGCTGTACATGGTTGCTCAGAGTAGTGGCATTTCCCCTTGGAAAGACAAAGACAGAGAAGTTCCCCCATTCTGCTGACTTCTGGGGTTACGGACATTGCAAGAGATACTAAAGAAAATAAATCTATGGAGACATTTTAGTTGTACATAAGATTTTAACTTTATGTAAACTAGTTTTCAAGAAAAAGGGGTTCTTTAATAAAGGCCTTGGAGTGCGTTTTTATGTATGTAGATAAAAACCCCAAAGGGCCAGGCTTCAATCCATCAGAAAAGTGAGGAACGGACTGAAGACAAAAATCCAGAACCTATGTTTAAGATTAATATACTTGGATCAGAGTAGATGTATTGTAATCTGGTATTAGTATCCCCATACTGGGAACACTAATTTGAGAATTGTATTCGCATTTCAAGGTCCTATAAAATGTTTAATATTTCCATTTTAAGAGGAGCTGAGAGTGAGAATGTTGGAAAACCAAATTTAATTATAAAAAACATCAGGAAACAGTAGTATAGAATAAGAAATACTCTGAAATTAATACATTACTGAACAAGAGACAACAAAATTACTATTTGGCTACTTCCCCCCAATTATTTTGATCTTTAGTGTTACATATTCAGAAAACATTTTTCTTATACAGTAAGAATATCAAATCAAAAAGGTACCAAGGTTATCCACAGTGCAAACATGATCATCAAACTACTGTTGGCCTGGGTGGCCTTTTCTCTGTCTGTATTAGATGCAGTCATTCCATTCAGATCTACTTCCAGAACCTGTAAAATCCCAGTGCTATTGCCAGGCAAGTGAACACTGAAGCTGTTAAAAAAAACAAACCCAAAGAAAGGAAATAATTAGCTGAATGCTGTAGTGTATCACTTTATACATACAGGAAATTAGCTGCAAACAGATGGAAGAAAACGGTAACAACACTAGAGCAGAGCCTCTTAAACTCCATGAATTGCTGCAGGTGTGACAGAGCAATTTGAGAAGACAGTGGCTTGCCTTAGATGTCACACCCTGCACAGCAGCACTGTGGTGGTGAGATGGGGGCCGAATTCAGCAGCCTAAGGAAGCATGTTTTCAGGGACACATCCGAACAGCTACACTGGATACTCAGTGCCCACAGGCTACAGGAACTTTTACTACTGGAAGCTGTATTACAGGAGATGCTGTACCAGGTCTTCCATTAGATGTGGTTATAATGATTTGCCACTGAACCAAACGACAATGAACTGATGATACAGGTATCTGACACAACACCCCTGGCAGCACCCCTGACAAGCTGTCTTTTGGATTTGTTATGCTGCTGTTTCAATTAGTGTTAGAATAAAGCTAATTACATTTCCCTTTGAATTTATTCTTGCTTCCAAATATACTGCATTACTCTCTTTTTATCCAGCTCCAACACAATAAAAACTTCACTGGTTTTATGTATATATTGAGAAGACAATCTCAAATCAGACTGAGATTTGTTCTGCTTGGCAGGGGAAAGTACAAGTGCTGTCACACTGAACTGTATGTCTGTGGAGACTGAATGGGAAGCAGAACTGGTCACTCTCAGACCAGTCCCGAATGACAGCAAACTTTCAGGATAACCCAAATGACCTCAGGAGAACTTCTGTAGCAACTCTGCCATGTCAGTGGCTGCTGCAGCAAGCAGAGGTACTGTCAGATGGATAAGGTATTTAAGCTTTTTTTTTTTTAATTTTTTTTTTTAGATCATGTCCGTATTCCTCCTAATCCCAGTTCTGAGCACAATCCTAGTCCTAGTGTGGCATGCTCCCACCTCTTCTGTGTTCTGTGTCACACTTTATCCAGCTGGGGGGAAATCTCCCCCTGCAATCCCAGCTGTCTGCTCCTACTACTGACTTCTTTCAGCATATACTCCTGAATAAAATGTTTTACATCCAAGATACAGTGCCGGCACTCACCTCCTTGCCTATCACGTACCTGCCAGATAACGTATCGTATCAAGTTTATTCGATTCCATGAGTGTTTTTAAGGAAGCTATTTCAGTGTCAATTTTATTACTGATTTCTGAGATAACGCTATTGGTACTTGAATCCTGAAATATTAAAAGATAGCATATAATGACAATGGTGTTTAACCCTTTCAGCTTTGCAAAGCTGCACTAAAATACTATGCTACTAGAAACAAGAAATTAATTTCCAGCCTATCACTGAAGTAAAACATTACTAACTACTAAGAGACCTTAGAAGACACAGAACACCATTTAATACAATCCAGGAAGAATACTGAAGTGACAGAAAGCAAGAAAACTCTGATGATCACAGAATCACAGAATGATTTGGGTTGGAAGGGGCCTTAAAGACCATCTAGTTCCAACTCCCCTGCCATGGGCAGGGACACTTTCCACTGGACCAGGTTGCTCAGAGCCCCATCCAGCCTGGCCTTGAATGCCTCCAGGGATGGGGAGTCCACAACCTCTCTGGGCAAACTCTGCCAGTGCCTCACCACCCTCATGATACAGACTTTTGTCTGATATGCCAGTGCATCCTAAAGGAGACATTCTACAGCACACAGAACATTATTCCTACATTTTTGAAAAACAAATGTTTAAGCATTCACAAGCCATATCCCAAAAAGGAAGGAGATGCTGAAGATGGGACAAGTCCCTCTTCCAGCCCTTGAAATGCTTGGCTGCAGGCACCTGGACCATCCCTCTTGCACAGCTCATCAGTTAACACTGGGAAGGGCAGCATGACAGCACACATCCCACTTGTAACAGCCAGCAACAAGGTACTTGGGAAGCGAGGGAAAAGGCTGGCATGCCTCCCTCTGCTGACTGGTGTTGTTCATCTCTAAGGCAAAAAACATCTGCAACAGCCAGGAGTGATACAGCCCAGCCTCTTCTTTAACCACATCCAAAAATCTATTAACTTCCACGAAAGTTTATACATAAAATGCAATGTGTAGCTGTATCCTGCTGACTATAAATCAGCTTTACTATAGTCAGCTGACTATAAATCAGCTGACTATAAATCAGCTTTACTTACTTTTTTATGAAACTCTGTAGTTGCTTCCATCAGTTTCCTCTCCTGATCTGTAAACTGTGGATGAAAGGTAAATTATAACTGTAGTAACAGAAACATGACACAGAACTGATAAGGGCATCTTCACAGACCAGCTTACCATATCTGTCACCCTGCTCCTCTCCAGGTTTATGTCTAGCTTGCTGTCAGCTCGGATTTTACCAGTTTCATTCTTTAAAAAAATAAAGATTATGAAAATAACTATTTACTTTCCCTAATAGGGGCATGTAGGTACTTGCTATTTACTTACCATTAGCTGCTGTTTAACTTGATCTAATTCAATTTTCATTTTCTAAGTGCAGAGGAGAGAAAAAAAGAAAGATTTTACAAATTCAGGAAGCTGCTAACCAAATTAATCAGTCGAGTAAGTGTTACCACTGCATGCATGCAATTATTCTTCCTTAATTTTTCTCCCAATGGGGCAATTTTTTCTTGATTAAATATCCTCAATAAGGTGTTCAATTGTACAGCCACATATCATCTGCTGGCAATTTTGCTCAAAATGAAGAGATTATTTTCTAAAAATGACGATCTTGTTATTCAGAGACTAAAGACAGCAGAAAAATACCAACATGCCATCAAGTAAAAGCAAAATGTATCTCAATTACCAGCTTAATTAAATTGTTGCAAAGAAACGGCTGACTCCTCTCCCTGCAGTATATGTTTCATGGCCACAAACTACCAGAATTACCTTTAAATAAAATTACAGAAGATGATTGTAAGATCTGTAGATTTTTTTCTTTACAGGAAACCTGAGCAAGTCTTTTGTGAAATATATTTTTATGTGATCTCAGAAGTTGTAATCTATAAACTTTTCAACTCTGATGGAAGTATCTAGAATTATTTTTACATTCATACTTTGTTCCACAAAAATGTACAACATGTAAGCCCCAACATATATTGGAATTAAACTGCTTAATGAAAAATATATATTAGTACCTCATTCTCTGCTCTCAAGTTTGCAAATTCACTTTTCTCCAGGATGACCATATCTTTTCGAATGGAGTCCAAATGTGCCATTATCTGCTGTAAAGTTATTTCCTTTGGAAAAATAAAATATGCCATTGATTATGTTGCACACTTTCTGGCAAGTAAAGGAAAGATTTTTAGGTCTGGAATTATGAAATTAGTTACTCCAAAGCACAAAAGTGGGGAGTCTCTCCAACAAGGAAGTGACACAAACAGAATTTTACAGTTGCAATTTGTTTGGAAGACTCAAGAGGTTTGCATTTTGTGCTCTTTCTGTTGCTTTAATGCACCAACTTTGAATTTAAGAAAAAAGGCC